CTAGTAACACACACACACACACACACACACACACACACACACACACACAAAGTGACAAAGGTGATGGACTGGAGAATACAAAACTTTCTGGATCCCAAACTTTTATGGAATAAATGCTAAGGTCAAGGTCTCTTTTGGTGCCCTGGAACTATGAAGACTTTCAGAGGCATCACCATTAATTTCCAATGGGATGGGAATTAGACAAGTTATAGCCTTAGACTGGATACTATTTTTTCCATAAGAATGGACAAAAAAACTTGATATACATCAAGTGAAAAAATGCTTAGAATGGGTTGCACACAATAGCTGGATGCCCTTCTGTTCTTTAAATCAGCTGCCACTATGGTTTCTGTGTGCCCAACTGGGCATATCCAGCACACGAATGGTACATTTTTATCATTCTCTGCAGTTCTCACCAAAGGGATGTGAGATTCCTATCTACTTCATAATAAATAAATCCAATGACACTCACAGTGTTCACTGTATGGTATATAAAACAAAACAAGCACAGGCACAAACATGTGAGCAATAACTTTTTAGCCAGTTGACAAAACTAGTCACTAAAATAAGCTAAAGTCAAATCACATAATTTTTATCAGTTCCATTAAACTTTTCTAAGAGACTCCTAGTTTTGAGGCAACTGTAGCCTCAGATAGTCTTAGGTCACACCAAGAGCTGCTTGTAAAGCAAATGAACCTTTATGGTGATGACACTCCACACATTAGCATTGTACTTATAAAAGTTATTGATTTAGGATGGAGACACTTAATACATGTCATTGATCATTTCATTTGTATGAATTATTTACTTCTCAAATAATACTAATAACAAATTGCACCAAAATGCAAAGCTATCAAAACCAGAATATTCTTAGCTTAATGACTAAATAAACAAAAAAACATCTGTAATAAAATCATGTATAAACCTGCATTTATTAACAAATTAATTTCCTAATAAAACACCATCTGCAAGCAACCCTCAGTTTCCACTAGCTATATAAAAAGGTCTTTTACTGTTTTTAGATGTAGTTCCCAGAAAGTTCTTCTAAGGCCAACTGTAGAACACATCAGTCTATTTTTGGTTGCCTGGAATGTTAATAAATTCTGTAACATTAAGTTTTTACAAAAACAAATAATGTTTGCTTGTTTTTTTTTTTTAAATAGCATGCTTCAATAGAAAAACTGACCTTTTGAAATAAAGTTAGGCTTCTAGCATCCTTAGTATCAATACAGAAATTCTAAGAAGCAAAGAAATGTTTCAATGATAGCCTATAATTAAAATTTCTCCACTATACATACAAGCATAGACACATAAACAAACATGGGTGCACACACATGCACATTTAATTTTATATGATCTCCCAGTTCACAAATATAATGACATTTGCTTTTTGTATATCTTAGAATATGTGTTTCCTAGTCATTTACTCCCTACTCCCCCAAAACATATTTCATTAGTACACATGTCAGCCTCCTGTCACTAGAGCGAGGGTATGAGTTGGGAATGCTCAAAGAAATGTGATTACTCTATGGACAAGCCTTTTTAGTAATAAAGTAATGCTACCACTCATCAAAGATGGCTGCTTTGACTAGGTACCCAGAACCCAATGCCTGTAACTCTTGGTTCCAAGGACTGGGACTGAATTCTAAAGTTAAGTGCTTTTGAAAAGTTCAACCAGATATAATAGGTTGACTTTCCAGACTTGGTTAGAGTTTTAGCCACATAAATTCCATTAGGTTCAAAGCTTTATAATGTTCTACCCTGTCTGTAGTTATACTAATGTTTTTATCTACACATTTCGGAGCTCTATATTAGACTTTCTAACCTCTCACTTTTTTCCTTCTATTTTTGGTTTTCACATTACCCTTAGAGTCTGTTTATTCTCCTGACTTTAGGTCACTAACATTCTCTCTACCACTCTTTTAAATCCTTCCTTGAAACCTATATTATAAAATAAGTACTTCACTGATCTTTATGATGACTTTATTGCACCTGGTCCATTTTGATACAAGGCTCTACCAAAGTCTGTTTGTACCTTTCCTCACCAAAGGCTGCATGCAGTGCACATAGATTGCTTATTAGATCATCATCTCCAGAGTTGATGATAGCTCAGAATCTCTTTGCAAATGTAACTCTCAATAGTGTGCCAGAGCATTGAGCAAAAACATGAAGTCATTTCTGAATCTCGGTCAGCCATACTGTAAATATATGACAGAGGATTACAACAGAGCAGATCTCACTGAAACTGTGACCTGTCACTCCACTAATCAGGTATGGACACAGGCTGACAGACCTCTTGATGGGCCAGTGCTATTTGGAGACCAGTTCAGAATGATGGCACCACCATGTAAGGAGGGAACAATAGCAGACACCATGACAAGAACAGGACAAAAATTACATTCCAGTCTCCCATTATACACCTTTTTCAAAGCAGGTTTCTTTTGGGTTTATAAGTATTACAATCCTGTAATAAGCCATCCGGTGGAAATTGGGATTCAGGTTTCCAAATGACTCTGCAGAAGTAGAGTAGAATAAGACACAGGAAGACAATGCACAATGAAAGAAATAAAATTGAGGATGGCTTTTCTAGCAATTGTTTATCTTTGTTAATGTTATTTGATGAACGTAGCTTAGTAAATGTAATCAAGTAACCATTTTTGAAATTCATTCATTCAACAAATATTTATTGAGTATCTACTATGTGCTAGGCATTTGCTAGGCACTTAAGATACAGAAAAGAATGAGACATTTCTTGCTTTCAGGGAGCTCCCAGTCTAGTGGCCAAGACAGACATAAACAAGTAACTACAATACAATGAAAAAAGTGCCTGTCAGAGTGTATACAAGATGCTAGAGGAGTCCAGAAGAAGCAGTTTGTAATTAAGCCTGGTGAAAGTGGCAACTGAGTATACCTGAAGGAGAAGCAGGTCTTCACCAGGAAGACAAGGGAGAGTAGGGAAATACATTGTATGCTGAAGGGGCAGTAGGCACAAAAACAAGGAAGTGTAATAAAGCATGATAAGATGGGAAACCACATGTAGTTCCATATGGCTGGGATTTCATCTGTGTATGAAGAAGTGGTGACATATAAGTCAGAAGGGGAATATGAAATCAGAGAATAAAGAGCTTTGCATGCAGAATTAAGAAATCTGGACTTTTTCCTGAAAGTGATGAGAAGACATTGAAGAATCCAAAATAGGGAGTGACATGACAAGATCTGCCCATTAAATCAGTCTGTATGGAGGATGGTTTGTAAGAAAGGTGAGACTAAAGGGAGGGAGACATGGTAGGAGGGGCTATCACAACATTCCAGGTGAGAGATGCTCATGGGCACTTCAAAAACAATGAGTGTGAAGAGGTGACAGATTAGGGAGATACTTAGGAGGAAGCTTGACAAGATTTGATGAGTTATAATACAAAAAGCACAACTTCCTCAGAGATGAAACAATATTAAAAACATGCATTCAGGAAATACAACCAACAGCCCCTTCCTTTGTATTCCCATAATCCTATGAAATCACAGCATCTGCTGAGTATGAATAGAGGAAGAAAAGCCAGAGGACACATATGGTCAGATTTCTCTAATTCAGACAGCACTAAATTAGAATCTGCAACAATACAGATTGCCTGTCACTCCTATTAAGAATTTCAAACTACCTTCTTCCTCCATATATTTTCAAGATTCTAGTCAACAGTAACAATCTAAAAGCAGTGGCATCTTACAGTCAAGCACTTGAGGTATAGTAGGCAGCAGCTTATATGGTGGTATCTGAAGGGCACCCAATATGTGTCGCCCACCCAGGGGCCACAAGGCATAATATGCAGTCATTACAATTCATTCCTTTAGGAGAGGCTTTGGTCCCTTGGAGCTTCTCTTTTACAAGGCAATTCCTGAGATGGGTAGAGCATTTAGTCATTCTAAACCCAGTGGAATTCTGGTTGAGTATAATGCCTTTGGATTTCATAGAAGGGCTCAAGGTAGTGATGCAAAAGGGAAGATTGAGGAATATAGAAGATAACACAGATCTTACCAATAAATAGCCCTGCAAGCACTTGAGAAGGTAAGATTCTTCATGGTCATTTTTGTTTGTTTTTGTTAATCCTCACCTGAAGATATGTTTTCCATTTATTTTTAGACAGAGTGGAAGGGAGGAGGAGAGACAGAGTGAAACATTGATGCGAGAGAGACACATTGATCGGTTGCCACCTGCACACACCCAGACGGGGGCCAGGGATCAAGCCTATAACCGAGGTATGTGCCTTTGACCAGAATGAACTCAGGACCCTTCAGTCCATGGACTGACGCTCCAACCACTGAGCAAAACCAGTAAGGGCAAGAAGCTAAGATTCTTAAAGAATGCCTTCCACTTCAGGATCCAGCAAACCACACCTGTACATTCAATACCTCAAGGAACTTTTTGTGTTTTGTTTATGATATTGGCTAGTCATGGCCTATAGCGACTCAATCTTTTCATGGGCCTCATGGCCAATTAAAATCTCCAGTGTTATTAAATTTGTACATAATATTGAAAATGTATTGTCTGAAACTACGTTATAACTCCAACCTTTCATTCACTCAGACTGACCTTGTCTTTTGTCATTCCAAATTATGGAGATATTACTGAATTTGCAGAGTGTTAATCAGTCAAGTCACAAGTGATAGAAGATCAAGACTCAGTTTCTGACCTTGAAGAGTTATACTTATGGCGTGAGAAGGTAAATAAGAGCTGCTTGTGAATACTTTATAGCAGTAAACCAAAAAAAAAAAAAAGGAACAAAACAAAATTTTAAAATTACTTACTTCACTTGTTTGGAGAATTGTGAACTTTGACAGTTTAGTCTTTGAACTGGCTGTACTTGGTTTTCCATCCAAGAGGGATCCAAATGACAGATTCCCAAAACTGTTCTCAAATTCAATAGAAGGTTTCAGTGTTGGAGATATGTCTTGTGTCTGGTCCTGGCCATCCATAGGTCTCACATATGCAGTTGGTTTTTGCTGCCCCATGCTTGTTTTGCAGTAAAGCCCTGGTGGAAAGTTTTGAACTGAAAGGCCACTGCTAGGAGCCAATAAAGACGAGGCAAGTAGGGGAGACCCAGGTACTTGCACTGTAAATTCAGATGCTTCTGGTGAGTTAGATTGAAAGATTTCTTTGAATGTATCACCTCCAATGGACTTGAGATAACTGCCTTCCTTTGCTGATGGGTTTGATCCTTCAAGTGTTCCAACTTGAGGCTGTTCAGCTGGGTAAACAAAGTAGTCTTCCAGTCTAGCTTGAGGCTGATCCTGTGTAGATGGCTGCATCTTATTTGGCTGACTGCTGGCCTGGCTAGCCGGTACAATGCTAGTGTTATGACTATCTCGTGGCCAGTCAGGTTTTGATTTCTTGTTGCTGTGTATTAGAGTTGAATTCAGTATCACAACAGAAGGTGGAGGCATTGGTCCAGAGGGGTGAGTGTTATCCTGATAAGGAGGGATCATTCGGTTCTTTTGTTCTGGCAAAAAGCTTGGTTCATTTTTGTTGATGGGAGTCTGGGGCACAGAATTCTTTGGGACTCCCACTAGATGATTCTGATTAGAATGGTTAGTTAGCAAATCCTTCATTTCATCATAGTTTCCCAGCGTGTTCTGGACTCTGTTGGCAAGTGCATCACCTTTGTTTGTCTAAAATAACAAAAAGATGGGGGTGGGAGGAGAAAGAATGAATAGGTTTGTGTTTCCTAATGTTAATGTTTCAAACAGATGTTCTAAGTAGACTAACATATACGGTTCTCTAAAATTTTCAGGCTGCTATTCATACTTTTCATGTGCTATATAAGAAAAAAAATCAGTAACGATATTGAAATAGTCTCTTGGAATGAGCTGTGTGATTAACATTTGTATACTCCCTGGCCTAACCTTAAATATTCTTACTGGGAAAAAGTTTTAAATTATGTTACTTATGAATTTTATTAGCAAAATACCTTACTTTAGATCAGTTGATCTGAACTCTTACATTTTGCATTGTGATCAACAATTTCTACTTACTGATCATTGGGATTATAAAGGATTATTTGAATTATATTGTTCTTGACATGTCATCCCTTTCCACTACATTATACAATGAAAAAGGTTTAGCCCACTAGATAAGGAAGAAGTCAGTTAAAGAATCCTATCATGGCTACCCTCAGTTTAGAAAAAGCATGGGATTTAACAATATCTAATTGAGCCGACTTATAACTAAAGTAAATCTAATTCCTTTCCATCAAAGAACTATAAATTACTGGTGTCTGCCTACATGTTCTGGGGGAATGGTATTTACATATTAATGATTCATACTCATTTACTTTGAAATGGTGCAACTGTTTATCAACAGTAACTCAAGCTCTCCTGTGTCTTAGGTGATTTAGAAAAAAAAATATTCAAGAATTTAAACTGTTACTTGAGTAAATCAAGACACAGTCAGATTTTCAAAGTGATGTTGGCAACTGAATCATTCTATGGACAACCAACATACCAGCTATACCATCCCCTGTAGGTTATACTGATCTTATTTAAGTGGTGTGATTGCTTTTAAAATATTTAAGTTCCTGAGTATTTTTTTTAATATAGAAAGCATAGTCTTCATAACTAAAAATAGTAGAGAGCTGTATACTGGGAAATGACTGATGAAAACTCAGCTTTTCAATTTTGAAAGTGACTTTTTATTATTCTTTTTACCTAGTAAAGATGTTATCAAAATAAGCTGTTGAATTCAGAAGGGCAAAGTACTTCTTTGTGCTTAGACTTTACTATTCTGGCCCAAGATGTTGCAATGAAACAAGACTACTGGCATCCATGGAGGCATGTGGCAGCAGGGCCATTAGATGGATGGAGAAGACACTCACCCTATGTAATGTTTACGTCCCAGGATCCATAGGCTTGCTCTTCATGCACAGAAGGGTATGGCAACCTCCCACTGGTACAACCTCCACTTAAGCTAGATGTTTAACATTTAAGATTTCTCACACACCCTTAACATGGCCCAGTTTTCTGTTGCACACAGAGAGTGTGCCTATCTAACTTTGTTATCTCAGTCTAAACCTAGGCTGTATGGTTGTGTGCTATTCTCTGTATGTGAAGATGGAAGAGTGTGAAAATGAATGGAGGGTGAAGTGCCAAAAATGAATGAAATCATCCAGGGAAAGAAAATGTAGAAAGATAAGATCAATCTAAGGAGTGAACCCTGGAAAACATCAACTTTTAAGAGATTGGGAAAAGAAGAGGAGCTAGAAAAAGATACCAAGAAGAAACAACCAGAAAGGGATTCAAACTGGAAACCTTGGCTTTGTTGTTAGCATGATCGCCATATATTGTATATAGTATTCAACTCATACCCTATGTTAAATCACAGAAGACACTTTCAAAGAAATAAGGGCAGTTTGGAAAATACGGTTTCAAAGATAAATACAAAATATTCTAAATATAGGCTAAGATAGATCTGTGGGGGATGGAGAATTTTTGAAAACAGATATATATCACTTTAGGTTTCTTATCCTCAAAAACATCTTATATTGCATTACATGCAACCTTGGTGCTGAAATAGTGCTTAAACAATTAGTATTTCATATAATTGTCAGCTGAAAAATTTCTCCATTTTCAGAAGTATATTTGAAAGGCATATTTAATAGATAAAGACAAGTAAAAATCACTTTTATTCCCTAAAGGGCCTAAGTTTGTCAATTTTAATGGAAGAAATTACTTTTCAGCTAAGGCAAGGATAAACTCTTTGTATACATCTGTCTCCCCTTCAATAGAGTTGCACAATAAGCCATTTGGGCAGCAGCCAAAATGAGTTTCTCTATTCAATCCTTAAATCCAGAACAAAAATATTTCATTGAGCTGAGGGCCCCATAAGAATCTGATGCAAAGCATTGTTCTGGCCCCTCAAACTGTTTATCTCATGACTGCCTAATGAACACTAATACCTGACTATCTTCGAGGATATTACCCAACAAGGGGAAACAGCTATTTCATTTTCATTTTAAATATCTTCATTTTATACTGTCTCATTCACTGAGTTAGGATATGCTTCTTTACATTAGGCAAATAAAATTATATAACCTATGAGCTTTTTCTTTTTGCCTTAGCTACCAGGAAGCTCAAAGCTTAATTTATTGAATTTTCATAGAAATTTTACTTTACTTTCATTGAAATTTTATTGAACTTTCATTGAAACAGAGTTCTACAGAATCAGAACCTTGCCCCATGATGTCACAAAACCACCAAAATCTCTCAAATCCCTAAGAAGTAATTCATTCTATTCTAGCCCAGCTGCATCAGGAGTCCAGAACATCAAAACCCATTTGCTCACAAGCAAGTTAATCACATTCCTGTTCCTGTTCAGCAGTAAATAAAAGGAACAGGTTTATCTTTATCTCAATGGAGAGAACCTTAGTTAGGTTTTAATATCTCTTCATTTATGTCTATTACTATAGTGATCTGAGTTTCTGATGCATGCTTAGATTTAATTTTGCATCTCTAGGTTTTGAAATATGCTTGAAATTAGGAGAAGTCCTAAACTGGCCAATGTCTAAAACTGTATCTACATGAATAAAGTTAGAGGAAAATTGAAACTTCTCTAAATACATATAGAAAACCAACCTCCTACTATATAGACTATACTATAGTTATAATTTTTTTCCTGCACAAAAGTATAAGCTTTTAAAATTCAACTACCTTTTATTTAATTTTATACCTTCAAGACTTAGCAACGTGTATGGTGCATATTTGGCACTCAATAAGTTGTTGATGAATTGAACAGAATAAAATTATAATGTATACCTTGCCTATGCTAAAATAAATAATTTTGAGTAAAAGGTACATAAACAGAAAAAGTAAAAGTAAAAGTAAAAGCTAAGCTGGTTACTGTGATTGAACATTAAGTTGAAAACCAAGCTACTTGGTAGCTAAAGCAATAAGGAAAACTCATAGCTTATAAAATTCTCTTTATCTGATGAAAGGAAGGATACCCTAATTCATTAAATGAAATAAATGACTACCAGATGCCAAAATATGAAAATAAATTCTCATTGGTTTGATTGGAAGAACTTTGAACAATAAAATAGTTTTTCAGTACTAATTTTACAGAAAATGTAAAGATGTCTTCACATGGCTTTTCCTTATGATGACTTAAAAGCAAGAGCATTGAATTAAATTCTAACTCAGGGAAGAAATGTCTGCAAGTGGAGTTACAGGGTTAGGCTAATAGCTCCAAGTATTACGCTTTCCTGTGCACTACTGATATAGGAATGGAGCAAATCCAAACGAATAGAGGGTGTAAGCTCCCTTAGACTAGCTTCCTCACAGAGGAATTGTCTCAGTGGGACTTGTGACTGGAACTGCATAGCAGACAGTTCAAGACAGTTCACTGGTGATGCTTTCTGTGTTGCTGATTGAAGGAAGATCCATGTGTTTTGCATAACAGACATGTTGTGATTACAGACATGGTAATTCTTAACATGCATAGTGGTAAATTGAAAATACTCATGAGACAGATTTAGGCAAAGAGTATACACAGACACATAGTCTCAGAAGCCCATCATTCAATAATCTCCAATAATTATCAGTAAAGTCTAAGTGGCCAGATTCAACTCTCTGCCTTCTCACCATCATAAATTTCTTAGGATGACTATACGATAGAAAACTCAATGGGGCCTGCAATATATTTATGTACACCTACACAATGTACTCTCATTATACACCACAGAAACATCTAATTCACACTAAAGGTTTTTTTCACCCTCCAGAGTCTTAGCAATCCTATTAAGGAACAAAATATTCCAGGAAGTCTTGATTGAAAATTATAAAAATGGAAAAAATGAAATCCAGCCATTTCAATCAATTGTAGGCTTCTTTCAATTTTTGCCAATTTTTTTATTTCCTGTTCTAGATAATCGGTTGATTTCTTAAAGGTAACCTTTACAGCCATTATTTTCTGAGTAATCAGAATTTCTCCATCATCAAGAAAATGCCTTTTCTAAGTATTTTCAGGCATAAATTACATGCCTGATTTGTGGCTCATGACTAGCAGCTCTCCTTCATTTAAGCTTTTTGTCTCTCATTACTTCAAGAAATGCAAAGTTGTCTCAGTTTGCTTCTAAGGCTATCTTCAAATCAGTAACATGATTACATTGCAGGACTAATGTGCTAGAAGGTAATTACACTATAGTATTTATTTTTAATATAAGTAATTATATAACTTAAGTTTTGAGGTTCATGTTTTCTTTTACTTCATTGTAGCTAATGTATGTGATTTAGTGATTTATTTTATATAATTCTAATATTTCACAGTTAATCTATCCAAACTGTAAGTTACTATTTCTTTCTTTAATTATAATAATGATAATACTTTGAATTTGTACAGCACTTTACAGATTTCAAGGCAAGGTTTCCTGGGTATTTGACTTGATCCTTACAATAACCATGTGATTCAGCATAGCAGATCTGGTTTCAATCTAGCTTGTAACTGCCACTTAACTTCTCCGTGCCTCAGTGTCCTCATTCCTCATTCTTGTTGAGCTGTGAAAAGCTATAAATGTCAGTTGTAGTAGTTGTTGTTGTTGTTGCTGTTATCAGGTATTATTTTTATTATCAGGTATTATTATTCACTTCAGAGAGGAGGAAACTATAGGTTAGAGAAATGAAATTTCTTCCCCAAAGTCACACAGGAGGTAAGCTTATCAGGTCTTCTGTCTTCCTGTCAGAGGATATCAACAGCTTCCTGCTACAGATACAGAATCACATAGAACTGGGCCTAGATTTACCAGTTATATGGATATTAAGCTGCAGAGAAGCAACCTCACCTCTCTGAGTCTCAAATTCCTCCTGGGAAACATGAGAAAAATGCCTATGCTAGTTATTGTGAGGACTAAACAAGCACATATATAAAGCTGCAGCACGGTGTCTGGCATAGACTAGGCACTTGGTGCATGCTAGTTCCTCATCCCTCCTAATATTCCCACACTAGACATGTCACATTTTTCAATCACTTTTAAAGATAGCCCTTTCTATAGCATAGCACAAACTAACTCAAATTTGAAATGTGTAAGCAACAAAAGCAACCATGCAGAGAGGTTACCCACCAACCAAATGTTGGAGTAGTCAACATACTTTCCATTCTGGGAGTGGTAGAGGTAAAATAAGGAAAGGAAGGAAATCAGCCAGAAACATTAGAAATCACCATTTCTTCCTTCTGGCCATTCATTGACTAGTGTATTACCATTGATAATGTTGGACAAGTGATCAAACTATAATTTAGAACTTAGGATGGCAAAAAGTTTCCTGAAAGTCCTGATCCACCACCAGGAATTTTGATTTTTTAATTTGATAAGCATTCCAACCACAAACCCAAGGAAGAGTTGTGGCATGCCTTCATCCCTACCAATGGCATGTCAAGCTATTTCAAGGGTTTCCACATAAGTCCAGATATGGGGAGATTTTGGAGGTACACATCAAGCACAATAGTATCACAATATGGGGAGAAGGAGAGGTCTACTGTCCAGTGATCACCCAGAGAACCCTGAACATAGACATAGCACAAAATAGCAGCTGATCATCAAAGTAATAGTGAAAGAAAGGGAGTTACTAGGTTATCAATTGTTAACATATTTCTTTCTTTCACAGTCTTTTCCCAAGAAAAAAAGGCTCTTCCTCATCAAGAAGGATAAAGGCAAAAAGCTACTAGTCACATAATAAGCCTGGCCCTGTGCTAGACTAATGTTCCCATTAGTAGGTAAATACCATCTCTTGTTAACAAGGAGTGTTATGCAGATGTGCATTTATATTTTTGAGTAGGCAGTTAAAAAATCTTTTGTCAACATTGTCGGACGCTTTCAAAAGCCATCTGTCTTGATATGTCTAGCACACATCTGGTAGAGACACATCTAGCACCTAGAACTGGTGCTAGACATATCAAGACATATCGCTTTTGAAAGCATCTGACAATGTTGACAAAAGATTTTTTAACTGCCTACTCAAAAATATAAATGCACATCTGCATAACACTCCTTGTTAACAAGAGATGGTATTTACCTTAAAGGTATATGACCACTAATTGAGCAGGATTGAAAATATAATGTGGGGGAATCAAGGATACTATATCTCATAATAGTGTTAAGTATGGAGTAAATATTGAATGTTAATGATGCATCCTCTGAATAAAGCTCATTTTTCTAATCCATCCAAATATAATATATAAAACTCATCTGGCTATTCCTTTTTCTTAATATTGGCATCTATCATCCTTTGACCTCACTTCCACTCTCTGGAAAAAATGGAAATCACAACTTCTTGCCCTGCCCCCAATCTTTCCTTCACTCTCTTGCTTTGTTCTCTTTGTAATATTCCATTGCCATCTTCCTTCTCATGGCTCATCACTTTTCACATGTTCTTGATTTTGTATTTTATCATTACCTCTGCCTAATATTCCATCCCCATTTACTTTCCCATGGCTCATCACTCTTCACATGTTCTTGATTTTGTATGTTCTCATTACCTCTGGGATCTTGCTCTACTTACCCCATTTCTCCCTCCTATACTTTCTTCACCCTTTCCTTATCCATTGTCATTGGTTCCTTCCCATCAATCTCTAAAAATGTTCAAGTTTATTTCACTTTTAAAAAGCTTCCTTCCATATTTCTCCCCCTTGCAATTTAATTTGCTTCCTTTCTTCCCCCCTCAATAAAAAAACTTTCTGCAAGATCAAATCTACATTAACTTCCTCTCTTTCTTTATGTTACTACATCCCATTTCCTCTCAAAACGCTTACAGTTTGGCTTCCCACAATGACCACCAACATTAACAAATAAAAAACTCTTCCTAAGGTCACTAATTATCACTTAACTGCCAAATCCAACAGCCACTTTCCAGTCCCGACCTTTCCTGACCTCTCTGATACCTGTAACTAGAAAATCCCTCCTCCATAAGCCCTTTATTACTTTGGTTCTATTAAATGATTCTCTCCAAGTTCTCTTCCTATCTTTCTTATTATTCACTCCTTTTTAACTTATTTTCCTTGCCTCCTATAGGGTGTCCCAAAAATGTATACACATACTTTGAATAATTATAAAGGCAGTGTTTATTAAAACAAATTTCATTTTGAAAATTAAGCTATCACCTGTTAAAATATGTATATATTCTTGGGGACACCCTGTATTTTACCCCTTAAATGTTTCTAATTCCCAAGATTCTCTATTTGTCCTTTTTACACAGTAATCTTACTCAGTGATAATGTTAATTCTCACAGCTTCTATTGCCACCCACATGATGTCCCCTAAATCTCTCTTAACAACTCCCTTTAGCTCCATATCCATGTATCCAATGTCTACTGGATAACTCTCCCTTAATATTCAAGTGACATCTCAAACACAAATTACTCGAATCAGATTTATGTTTTTCTCTACATGCACCAACCCTGCTGTCCTTCTGAACAACCTGTTAATAGCACCATCTTCTGAAGTCAAACAGATGGGAAAAAAATCATTCATCTATCACACTCCCCACATCCAAACAGATACCCAGTCCATCATTTGAACTTCCTTGCTCTACCTTAAATGCTGCCTGCCATGAACTTTCCTTAGCCAACTAAAATAGCTTCCTTATCTGCCTCTAGTTTACCTTCCCATCAACCCATTCTCCAAATTTTCAACATTGTCTTTTAAAATTCTTTGTCCCAGACATGACCTGATTTTAAAACTTGCAATAACTTCTCTTTATGTCCAAACTCCTTCGTATGAGGTACAATGTCTTCACTAATCCTTCTCCTATCTACCTCTCTAGCACTTACCATGAAGTCATGCCCTCGTTCATTCATGATTATCTCTGCCACTGGATAAGAAATTCCTTGAAGGCAGGGATAATGTCTTATTTCCCTTTGTACACTAGTCTAAAACATGACTAGCAAATAATGGTCCTTGAAAAAATGCTTGTTAAAGTAATCATATCTCTAAATATATACTTTGAAGGTAGTACAAATTTAAATCAATTGAGATAGAAAAATGCTTTTTAAAAGAATTATGCTAACAAATTATAAACTAGTAGTTTAGGTGACTTAAGTTTCTTTGTCAGAATTAACCAAACTTGAAAGACACATGAAGGTCTCAACTAGGAGTTACTTACTTATTTTGAATAAGGCATCAAGAATCTGGTGTTACTAGTCATCAATCCAAATAGCGTACATTTTGCTCCAAAGTAGTATTTGTGCTTATGCAGTCCTTATTAAGAACTTTCCTTTTCCAGAATGTCCCCTAAATGGTGCTCTTTTAAAATCACAACTCTTGAAAATACTCTATATTTTTGTTTTAACTCTTACATTATCTCTGTTTTATTACAGAAAATTATACTGCTGCTAAATTTCAATAAAAACAAACCAGCTATCATCAATTTAAAAGGGTTCTTTCCCCAACCTCCACCCCAAATAGAAAGTTCAGAGGCAGTCATTGTGAAGTCAGTACTTAGACATAGCAGTATGATCATTATTGGAGTTACTTACTAGCCAGAATACCACTAGAAAATCACTCAAGCTACACTAACCCCTCTGGTTGAGGCACTCTCTCCAAAATCATGATTATTAACCACCAGGAAAAATAATTGACTTTTACCTTTCTCCCAGAACAGTGATTTTCAAAGACCACTCAAACCAGTGAACAGCTACTAACAACCTAAAATGGAAAAAGAAAGCAGTGGCCTTGCAATGGATGACATTTATCGGGAGAAGAAATAGGCATATCCACTGACAGTCTTCAGGGACTGCCTTTCTGATAATCAAAGTGGGAGAAAGTGTCAAGGGGGCCTTCCTTGCTGTATGAGGTGTTGGGCAGTAAAGATCTCTTTGGAGACAGGCAGTCTCACAAGTCTCTTTCAAAGTTACTATGCTTACCAAAGAAGATGGAATCTGTCTCAGAAGACTTCCTTATAAATTTGCAATTGCCCCAAATACAGTATATGTATATACTTCATTTGTAAAATATATTCTCCTGGAAATCATTTGGGTACTTTAAAAATAGATTAAATGTTGATTAAATGTGTTAAAAAACATGACAAGCAATCATTTTCCATAAAGATAAATTACATACATATTCAGCTACCTTGTAGGGCTCCCCAAAAAGATCAAAGCCTGAAGAAAAGAGATCATCTTCTTGCTGGACTTCTTGATTCCTCCGTTCCCATTCCCTTTTTTTAAGTGCACTACGGTCTTGTTCATAGTGACTAATAGAAAAAGACAAAAGGAGAAATCGGTTAATTAGTCATCTAACTCTCCCTTGTTATCACTAAGAAAAAAAAAAAAAAAACAAGTCAAGACTACCAAACTGATAATACATAGAGAGCAGAGAATATTTTTTTTTTACTCACATTACCTTTAAGATCCTGACCAGTTATTCAGAATACAGAAGAAAACAGAAACTCACTTATTAGAAATTATATTTATGACCACATAAGCATGGTAGAATCCTTGTCCCTTACCCTTGCTTGATTACAACAGGCAATTATAAACTTCTCAAAAATCAGTACTCTGTGTAGAAATGTACTAAAGGTTACATTGTGTTGTGAACTGCCTAGGGCTCAGAATTCACAGATGTCACAAAACCCTAAGTGAAATAAATTAACAAATACATTATTGCAGATAAACTGGAATTCTATCCTGAACCCATAGCCACAGTTATCCTGTTGTAAAGAAATCACAGGAGAACCTAAACACATTTTTGGAAGTCCATAACAAACCAAATCAATCAATCTCAGTCCTTGTTGTTGTTGTCTAACCATAGTTTGCATTTTGAATGACTGAAAGCCTTTTGGGGAAACTTTTCACAAAGAAAGGGGTCTGGCGTGCACAACAAACTTCTAACAATGAAAAGAATGTATCAAAAGCCTTGAACAACTAACATACAAATGTTTTATAAATACATGTAATTCTGTGAAGTTCATCACATTTCAAGCTTTCCCATTGGAGGGTCAGTAGAAAAGCTTCCAGACAATATCTAAGATATATTCTGGGCCCTTTGATTTTATAGACTGCAATGCTTCCTTATTAAAAACAAAACAAAACACTATTTTCTTCATCATGCAAAGCTGTGAATAACTAATCTAATAAAATAGAAACATACAAATTGACCGTACCTTCACTAGGCCCCAAACCACGCCCACCAGCCAATCAGAGTGACTATATGCAAATTAACCCAACTAAGATGGCAGCCGGCAGCCATGGAGCTGGAGCAAGCAGGAAGCTTATTGCGCCAGCAATGGAGGAAGCCAAGCTTCCCGCCTGCCCTGGCCTGCTGAGGCCTCCACTCAAGGCAACAAAGTTTCAATTATAGAAGATAAATTAATCCCAGATACCTACTTCCAGCCAGCCTCCACTGGGAGTTTGGGTGGCTCGGGGGTGTGGCGAGCCTGAAAACGGCCCTGGCTGGCCAGGGTGGCCAGGCACCCCAGCGGGGACCTTCACCCTGAAGGGGCTGTCGCCAGCCTGGAAACAGCCATCAGCACCTCACCCAGGCTGGCCACACCGTCATGGGGTGAGGGTCCTCGCTGGGAGGCTTGGCAAGCCTGCAAACAGCCCTCAGCCCCTCACCCAGACTGGCCAGGCACCACAGCAGGACCCCCACCATGATCCGGGACACCCTTCAGGGAAAACCAGCCGACCCTCACCCGTGCACCAGGCCTCTATCCTATATAATAAAAGGATAATAGGCAAACTG